TATCACTAGATATTACCTTTATATGCATGCGCTGTAATTTGAAACCATAATTTTGTTTGGATATGCACACTCGGTACAGATAGTTTTAGCAAACAAGGTCATTGATACCCATCATATACAATACTTGTAAACACCACTAACACAGGCATTTTGAATTGATTGTCATTGCTATTGTGTTCCCTTGAAAGGACCACGAGATAGGGTATGATTGTTCTTATACTAAACTGAAACAATTCCCTAAAGTATGTATCAGCAATGATGATTGCACAGTGATCTTTTGATGTTGGCTTAAAGAATTCACAACTTTAAATCTTATAAAATAATCACATCTAATTTTGAAGAGACTACTTAAAATTGGTTTCGTGAGTAAATATTTTGAAAGCGCTGTCATGTACGTGATCAGTTTAGGTAATTATTCTATTAATGGAATGTTTTTTATGTATAACATACGAGGGAGGACAACTTTTCACAAACGGCAGAGTTTACACCTGCTCTTCTTCGATTTTCAAATATCAAGACCGGGATTTAAAAATCGTGAAGGTTCTTCTAGACTCACGTCTGAATTCGAGTCAGGGCATACTATTCATTCAGGGATATGATATTCGGGAAAACTAACTGCTCCCGCAGATTCATATTTCAGATGTCGACTATTTATTTGCAAAGCGAAACTAAAGCTGCGTTAGTATCCGAAGATGCAGAAAAGTAGGAAGTTAACCCGCATGGCTTTAAATACCAATAAACCATGTGACGGCAGATGCTTTGGGTAAAGAGTAGCATACTGATCTGAATATTCAGTGGTGTATGATGTGAACGCAGCATAATGGTAGTTAACAGCGCTACTAACGAACATTTTGGATAACCGTTATTCGCAAACAGTTTGTATCAGGCTAACCGGCATAATTACATCGAATGCAATATAACCAGATTAACACCTGTCTTTAAATATATCTCGAACTTTTACTGATATACTTACTTCAGAAATATCTGCCCAAAAAACATGTTGAGTAACTAAATCTGATTAAAATATGACGCAAGGGGTGAATGCACGGCCATGCTATTTCAACAAGGTTTATAATAAACAATAAGGTTTTTATTCAATGTATATAATAAATTTATTCATATAGATCTTACGTATATACAAAACGCCATCTTTTCGATAGATAGTTACTTATTTATGATTGCAAACGTCGTGATAACATCAACAATTTTATGATTTATGAATTATCACTTTACGATACAAATTTAAGATGTATTTATATACTAACACGGTATTGTTTTCTCACAAAGCACGTAATGTTATCCCTTCTCTTTTCTTTCATTTGGGTTATATATCAGTTTTAAAGAACACCCATTCAATTATTAAATCATGACGTGGCATACAGTATGGCTGACGTGAATACCATAAATAAGAATATCTTCTTAGACAAATAATACACGATGTCTAGACGGTATTTTGCAAAAACTAGACAACTTATAATAATCGGCGACTATGCACATGGTCATATCCTAATCAACCGTCCGGCCAACTTTGCTGCACTCCACTACCCAAAGATTTGTCTATATTATGTGGACTAACTGTCGGACGACATAAGCTAAGGACCTTGAACGCCTCGCCCCACAAACAATTATGTACACAATTCAAACGTTGGTTTGATATGTGTTTAATCTCATAAATTTCGGTTTCCCTATTTATTGGACTTAACCGTTGAGCTTACAAGTGTCTGCCGCGAGATCGATTTATTTCATCTTTGACCAGAAAGTTTATAATTTGTATTTCTATTAACCCAACCACAAGTTAAGATTTATGCTTTTTATTTGAGCCACAAAATCGAACCTTATTTGAAAACTCGTTCCGAAGAATGAAGTAAGTTATAACTTTTAGTAGCCAGCTACCCTGTACGTTGATTATACACTTTGCTTAATCATTGGATTTTAAATTTTAATATATTTTTCAACTTCTTACTAATTTACCTTCACACTCCTAGCACTTTTTGACGGGGACTGGAATGCCAAACGTTCCAAGGCGTCTCTCTCTCTTTCTCTCTCTCCCTTTCTCTCCCTCTCTCTTTTATAATAATAAGGCTTATTTCTGTGAAACTGTTTGATAGTACCAGAATTTTCTTTTGAGAATATTTTCAGAAAAGACGACAAAACATCAGACAATATTCAACAACGGGTTAAAAAAAAAGAAGAAAAGATAGAGGTTAGTAAGATTGTTAAAATATTGACAAAACATAAATATGTGTCATAATAATGTGAGAAAATCGACGTAGCTTATTCCAAATTCAAATCGCTCAGAAGTATACGTCTGTGATTTCTTAGTATAGGCGATCATGCTTCATGCTAGAATGAACGTTTGGAAAATATTCCCTATTTTTAGTGTATTATACCTTAGAGTTAGTTGGTTTTAATTTTGAGTGAATCCTGTATCACTGCACGGTTACGGCTGCCACCCTTATCCTTTCATTTTCTGTGAGATATACGTTTGTTATTTATTGCTTGCAGTGTATTGTGTATGTTGTGTATATTGTCAGTGCGTTTGTCATATGGAGTTTTATTCATATGAGGTGCCCCGCCCCCCGGAACTTACTATTTAACACATCCCTTCTTGTCTGCGATATCACCTCGGTGGAAGCGGACGTAAAATACAACTAACTCATCATCGATTAGATAAATTGTCTGCGATATCACCCCGGTGGAAGCGGACGTAAAATACAACTAATAACAACAACAACAACAACGATTAGATAAAGCTGATGTTTAAAAGAAAGGTGGTATTGGGTCGAAGCAGTTCTGGGGAATCTGTTCAATTAAAAGTCCATCGGAAAGCAAGTAATTGTTAGAGATGGGGTTTGTTTTCAAATAAAATAAATGGCATAACTAATTATTCTGCCTAACATGACATATACTATATATGTCATGTTTTATATACTAAGGCCATGAAATAAAAGATCCATATGTTTGGTAATTGAATTAAGTTAACTGTTATGCATTCTGCCAAACATGACATTTTTAAAAAAAAAATTGAATTGTCTGTCAGTTAATGTCAAACCATGGATGTGTCTTGATAGAATGGGGCCGCGTTAGTTCAGTGAGCAAGGCGCTGCATGGCTCGCTAACCAGGAGTTTTCGGGTTCAAATACTTCGTCGTGGTTTTCCCTTGTCAATAATTCGCCTCCGCACGTTAAAGATTCCCCAGATACTCTAAATTCGAAATAAGAGTATGCCGTAGTGCCGCTGGGCAAAACTTCTCTCGTGATGTACAGGAGTAGTACGTTAACCCCTATTTCATGTCATTCCATTTAATATTAAATACAAAGTCATAAATATGTATTTGTACTATTATAATCCAAAATGATATAATTGGTTGGGAGTTGATATCATTGATTTCAATTAAAGAAATTGAAAATACACAGTTTTCCATTACACTACGTTGGTTTTTTAATACTTTGACATGCAAATGCATCACTGTATTGATAGCCTTCTTTTTGTATACATGAGTTGTAACTTGTCAGTTCCATTACGGATCTCGTTTATTATGCAAGATGAATAATAACCTTTGGGAAATATTGCCATCTGTGTTGATGAAAAACATATTAAGTAATTATTTTGTTATTACAAAATATATATAATGTCACGAAATCTAACCCTATATTTAAGACCCTATAAATATTTCAAACTCAGTATATGAGGGCTTGTTCTGTATAGTTTCGAGCGCCATTTGTAATGATCAAAGAAATACATATTCCACACGACAATGTGAAAATAATTCTAAAAAGGCCGAATCACAAACGGCAAAATAATAATAATAAAAACCCGTAGAATGGACTGAACAGGCGCAAACGATGGCCGCTCACGTATTTCACCGAACATAATTGATTAGAAATTACAATTACAAATTTAAAAAATGAATGTAAATCACTCATATTACATTGCTATGTGCTTTTTAGAACCATTTTCGTGTTATACGCCCTTTAACAGTTATCATATAGCTTAATGTTACATTATCCCATAGATTATCATGATTTATTTTTTATATCAAGTTTAATTCCCTACTTGATCTTTTTAAATATAAAATGTCGCATAATATTGTAGAATTACAAATAATATACAGAACGAGGGTATATATGACAATGGAGGCAGGCGTGAATGAAGACGATGCCCGTAATGACTACAATCTGTTATGATATGTTATGTTCCTGTGTGCTGTATTGTTGGGTTTTAGAATTATGGATGTAATTTTGTTTCTGCATTGTTGAAATAAAGAAGTAAAATCAACAGCCATCGTTATCCTTAGATCATTTGATATACTATGTTACAGTGTTAACCTATTTAATATCTCGGCCACTTGATGTTCGAGAGAGTTGATTATGGGCTTGTACCTGTAAAAAACTTTATGCCATAAAAACGACCTACAATACGCAGATTAGTTCTTGAATAATGCATCTTAAAAGGTGATCCAACAATGGTTATAACTATTGCTTCGGGAATATGTTAAAGCATAAATAATAAAGACATACAGATACACTACAATATAACAACAGACCATAAAGTTGTGCAAAAAATACAAATATGACCAAAACACAAAAAGACAAACCATAGTGAAGGTACTATACAGAAGGAATAAAAAGAAGATCAAATGAAGAGAAATGGGGATAACGTCCCACTTTTCCGCCACAGCTGGGGTAATGAAGACAGAATATAGAAGATACTATAGAGTAAGCAACCTGCATTTAATACAGACATGAGTAAAACTAGTAGAAATACAAAGAGCGTACTGAATGTTCTAAGAATACATTTGCTGTTTATTAAAAATACAAAAAAATGTTTAAATTGTATTCAGTACTACCAAGACACGGCAATGGGTTATCATTCGAAGATGTAGTAATTTCGAAAACATTTAGCTATTATCACATGACTTAGTCGCAAAGAACCAAACATTGATATATCGTGACAGTAAATATCTATGCCCCTAAAATATAGATAAAGAAAATACTTACGGATAAATCTGTGGATGATGTTCTCGAACAGGACGAGAAGTTCGTCCAAGTTTTATTAAGTTCTGGGTGGAAATACCAATCACCCTCTGGTGTACAATATCGTGTAGCATATTCTAGAAATAGAAAGATATAAATCTGGTTTATCATTCGATGAACACACCGCGGTCATATAGGGACAAATATTTATTTACTTTTAGGTAATATCCGTCGGTATGTGCCCAGTGATTTTAGCCGTGGGGAATAAGAAAAGTAAGACAGTCAGGTGGGCGCGTACGACCGTGGGATCAACGAAACACCACTTCTTACCAACATCGGACTAGTATTACCCCCACCCCACCTCCTCTCCCGCCCATAGAGTTTGCCCAAAGTGTGGGTGAGTGTGTACATCCATAATCAACTCCGCTTACATGTATCAACTGATCGTACTAGATTGGCGAGAACTTTACACTCATCATTAGGAATCATTAGGATTTTTTTTCAAATTCGTATGTGTGACAGTGTCAGTGACAATAGCAATGCGGCAGATTGACAATATGAACATTTAAGAATGCTGATCCAATCCAATTTGGTTTATACGGGGGCGACGTTAGCTGGGTAAGGCGCCAGCGCCAGCTCACTAACCAGAAGGTGCAGAACGGGTCGGGGCGGAGGGGGGGGGGGGAAGACTGGAAAGGAACACCATGCCACCTGATAAACCAATAATTTTATATGAGTGTAATGGCAATGCGAGTGCGATTGGATTGACAGATCTAATTTAAAAGTAATCTTTTAATCTTGTTTCATGGATGTTTTTGACACAAATTTTAGATTTCATAAACTGTGAATTATAAATGCAGCCAAAGATAGGCTAAATATCCCGAATTACCTGCCAATGTCTTTCAGTTTCGAGGAGATAATCTAAAATGTTATAAATTATCCTGTACATTTTAAATTTAATAACTTCTGTTCCAAAGACTTTACCTCCCTGGGTTACACATTTTACATTCTACTATATTGTCCTATTCAATAAGTATTATTGTACGGTTCTCAAGAATTACTACGCTCTTATATATTCAATAAATATTATTCTCTAATATATTTAAAGATGTCCAACGAAATACGGCATGAGTCTCAAACAAATGCCAATTTCTAGTGTCCGGTTATTCCAGTCTATTGCGCAGATATGGCGTTACCGTTTGACATGTTGCTGAATGTGTCTAGCCTCGTTCTTTCTGTTCATTGGTTACAAGTGACGCTGAAACGCACTATCGTACACGATTCTTGTACCAATGGTAAAATGTTTATTTTGTCTTAAATATTGGATATCAATGGTAGTCACCGAAACCCAATGATAGTCACAGGGAACCGAATGATAGACACAACAACTGATTTTTGTAATTACCATTGTCGTTAAAACCATGAATATAGTTAGGACACGGTTGTTTAACCAGGGATCCGGCTGGTGATTCATTCCAACATAAAACTTTATCCCATATTACTCCACATTTTGGTGTTTCTGCTGTTGTCTCTGAAATGAAATGAAATGGGGGTTAACGACCTACTGTTCTGCTCCTAAACTGAGCTAATGAAGATGGGCATACGCCTTACAGTGTGCTATGAGGGAAATTTTGCCCGGGCAGCGGCGCTACGGCCTACTCTTATATCGAATTCCTACTGCCAAGGGATCTTTTACGTGCACGTCAATATGTACACGGGACCTCGGTTTTTCGTCCCATCCGAACGACTAGACAGCTGTCCTTGTCAGCCCCCCGTCCTGCATTCACTGACAAGGGGAAACCACGCCGGAAAATCTGGATGAACTTTCTCGGCCAATGCAGGAATCGAACACCCGACCTCCAGGATAGCGAGCCAGCGTCTTACCCACTTAGCCACGTGCCCCCCCCCCCTCTGAAATGAAGGATGCGATGATTTAAAATAGGTAGTACTACTACCGGATAACGTTGGCTAGCTTCGTTTACTCCTTAGATAGAGATGTGGTATCAGGTGTTATAGAAAGAGTAGGTATGCACAAACGCCATGCCACCACGCTTACAGCTAACTAGAGCAATGTCGTGGATCAAGAATAAAGATGGCACATTCTAATGCATTTACAAATACGCGCTAAAAGTATATTTCATGAAAAATATTATTATACAAAGCATTATGATAAAAATCTTCTGACGTCGATGTAAGCAGACACAATATTACATCTGACAGCAAACAGATAAAAAGACAAAATAAGCTAGATTAGTTAGCGTAATAGACGTCTCGTTGGATGATTTGAAAACGTTTTGTATATTTATGTTACAGACTAGGTTTGGAACAGTGTTGTATACCGATATATTATAGAATACGTTGGGTATAGCGTTGAAATAATGCTCGTTCGTTGTCTGCTTTATTAACCAAGTAATCCAAATACAAAGTTTTGATATTTCAGGTTTGTAAATGTTGTTTTGTCAACTTAAAGGTGCATTTTTTCAAACTAACCCGAATACAAAAAATAAAAGCTTCATCTGTTTTACTACATAGCAAAAAAATGCTATATAACTTGTTAAAAATTTGTCCTTAGTTGATAATGTGGTGGTGTTAATTGTTGGTTGTGTAAGTCATTAACAACGGTTAAATTTCGCCGGATATTTTGGATATCGTGTTAACATATAACGAAAGATGAAGAATTAAAAGTAACACAGTTTGTTTATAACAAACAACTTGAACGCATTATAAACACTCTCTTAAAACTAGTACGTTCATGATTCCAGTGCGATTTAAGAAAACAGGCGCTTTGCTCGTTGATATTTTATGATTTCAAGGAACACACACAAACATGATTCCAACAGTTTCATATTAAAAACAGCAGGTCTAGATAAAACGATATAGCATATACAATCTTAGAGTTAAGAGATACTTGTTTGAAGATTTAATTCAAAAATTTATAACATCAATTTAAAAGAGAAATAGTTTGGTATGGCATTCTAAAGAATTTAACATAGATTTTATATTTAATCTTTTCAGTTCATAAAAATTACAAATTAATTTCAATACACAGGTTACACTATAGCGTTGGTCTTTTAGTTCCGCTATGTTATTTTTAAAAAATTTAAAGCTCCAATATGCCAGGTGGTCCACAAATAATTTATTTACGTTCATAAATAAAATGGACGGCAGCAAGTACGAGCGTACTATGGACCAGGAACCAAACACGATGCCATCGCGGCCATCTTGGAATTGTGATGCCATATTAAAAGCCCGTCAATCGATGCGCAATTATCCAAGGAAGAAGTTTTAACGTCGATCTTGATTTGGCAGAGCGGAAGGTTTCCTTCGAAAAATGTCGCCACAAGAAGAAGAACAACAACAAAATGAGTAGTGCTTGGGGACCAGTTGCTGGTCCGAATCCGAACGGGGAATGCGGGATATCGATAGGGTTAATCCTCTCATTTCTAAATACAATATTTGAAAAAGGAAATCTGTTACCTCTACTATTGTCATAGGGTTTTCGATAAAGCGGGGTAACTCCGAAACGAAATATCGTGGAATGAAGGTTATCGATAGACTTTTTCTCCTACAAACTTTATTACACAATATGAAAAAAAACCAAGGGCCATAACCAAGGTACGGTCCGGTGCACATCAAAATATCAAATTCATCCGAGATCATATAATAGTTTACAGCATCGAACTCATCGTAGATATTTTCATCCGTGTTACATGCTTTTTCACCATTTGCGTAAAGAGGAGGCGCATTTGAACGAGAACTTGTAGTTCGATTTACAACTCATCCGTGATTTTCGTACAATTAGGGACAATAATCTAGGAAGTTACAGTCCGATATGTCCCAAATTCGAACCAATCCGAAATACATTTTCAGTTTCATGAAAATCGGATCTGTCTATAGTGTGTCCACAAATAATTGTGAACGGGCAACATAATACGTTCACACCATAACGAATGCGTTTAAATATGGAGATGATCTCTACCCATGCCAGCTGCTATATAATAAAACCTCATTATAATCCTACAATTCAGTTTTCGTTTCTATTTCTAGCTTATTTCGAGAAAAAATGGACAGCTACAATTTATCTTACAGGAACCATCTACTTGTAAATCATTCATATCTGACCGGCACAATATATTATCCAAAAACTCAAAGATATCCCCGTGTAATATCTCGAAATTCGACAAAAATGTAATGTTAGATATTTGACGCAAATCGTATCTGGCGCGTGAAAATAAATTGTCTGCTTAAAGTGGATTGCAAGAAATAAAATCAAAAATAACTCTTTCGGTGTCAGGCTTGATTAGATTCGTAGACCACCTCTTCACCCAGTGCCTAATTCTAAATTATACTAAAAACAAAATCCAATATATTTTTACATTGCATTAAGGGTGCCAATATTTCAGAAATATCACCCTTGGGAATCATGGGAGATGAGAGTCTGGAAATGGTAATTGTTACCAGACGCTTTAAAACATTGCATGTTTCCACTAACAAGTACATTAAATACGAAAATAAACATGGCAGACAATAATAGTGGTTTTTACCCACCAGGCAAAGCAAAATACTACCAAACTTTTAAAAAATATATGTAAAATAATCTTAGACAAATCGTATTTTCACTGACACGTAAGAAAATAAATATATATCGATCAGATGTCAATTGAGCCTTTAAGATTAAGAGTGCTAATGAGATTCTATAACAAATAGGCGGTGTAAATACAATAATAAAACGACCTTTAAGTACGACTACATTTTTTCGGATTTCAATTGCAAGGATGTTTTACGAGTACGGAAATGTGTACATCATATTTTCGTCCCATCTGCACGACAAAGCACTTTTCTGCCCGAGGGCCAGTGCCGTATTCACTGAAGCACCACTGACAGGACACTTTTATTAAAATGTTTAAAACATGTTATATCGATTATTGGAAAAATATGTTCAATAATATCTTATAGGCTACTCACCATATCTGGAATGGTTTAAATATTTTAGTATTTCCTGGCCACAGTTGACCTCGGCTTGATAAAGCAGCTTCCACTGTTCGTCGGGCGTCATTACAGATACCACCTGAAGGATTAAAAAAGAAAAATATATAAAAACGAATCAGAGATTGGCTTTTAAAGTTTGCCAATTTAATTAGAATGAAATAAACTTCTTTGTTGATATGAAATTGTGATACTGCATTCTGTAATTGAAGACAAGTGAAACTTGAGATAAATTTACAAGTACAGTTATATACTTAAAACAGGACAACAATATCCAATGTATATTAGATCAAGTATTGTATTAAACAAAAACAGTGAATACCAACAATTGATTCCTTTTTATTTTCTGGTACTACTATTACTGTGGATTTACGCATCAGCTTCTACTTTTGGCAATCTCAGCCTATAAACATTTCTTTATAAGGCGCTTTTAGTAATTCGTAGATTGTGATTAGAAGATCAACCCACTAATGAAATTCAATAATACCCATAATTTAGAGAAATCTAATCAAGGCCTAGGTAATTATATTCTGATCTTTTAAACATATCATCTGAATACACGGAGTAAAATAATGTTTGGTTTAAATTAAATTGTATGATAGTACAGTCTTAACACTAAAGAATACCCTTGTTTTGTATAAACTTTACAATGCTTCATTTTGTCTAGTGCCCGTCTTCATTTGCCGACTCGGAGCAGAACAGTAGGACGTTAACCCCTATTTCATTTCATTTCCTATCTAGTCCCGATATTACCGAGTTTGTGTCGAATGGACCCCCCCCCCCCCTGCACTTTCGGTATTCGGAACCAATGTTGACTCTTTATATTTATATAACAGTGAACATCACTGTTACGTTAACCTACAAAAATAAAACCAGTCCACAACATACCTACTTTCAGTTTATTTCTGATTTCTTTAAAAAATATACCCATATAGCTCACTCAACCGATGACCAAAATGATGATTGAAACAGATTACACATCCGCTCAAAAAGATGAATATTGAAACTATAACAATATTTCAAGAATTTGCTTGCGCGCCGCAGGTAATGTTATACGCGAGAAGAAACTGGTTTCTCCAGAAGGTGCCACAGCGATTATGCAGTCAATCTTTATTTATAGGTTTATAGACTGGTTTCTATAAAACAGCTCATCCAGCTAGCACTCTGTCTACCACACCGGATATACAAACAACGAGATCGCATATAGTGTATGGTTACTCTTTCTAGAACATCTGATATCCCTACGCATTTATTTGGGATATTCAGTCAACATCTGCTTTCATATACTTAAACTGTCGATTGTCATTTGCATTGATGTTATCTACCACTATATGCACCAACAACGTCTTAAAGTGACATAACTCGTCCTTATAACTTACGGAGGGAGTCTTTCGGGATTAAGGATAATGAATGCTTTCTCCTAGGAAATCCAAAAACTTCAGCTATTAGGACGATTCATGTATTGATCTCTCAAATAATTCGTTGTTGTGGTTGTCGAGCGTAACTGCATTTAGAATGTTTATAACATGATTCGAAGAACAAACCTCCTCCAATCTACTTACACCATGACCATTACGTCTTGTTATCTTATATCAAAATACTCGTGTATTGAAGTACTTAACGCCAAAAATAACTTTGTATGTACTTGAAACAGTGGAACATAGCAATCTAATAGTGTCTTTCAGTTCATATTTCAAATTAAATAAAGAAAGCAAGACAATACGTGGGAGTTTTAATTAATTAATTCATTAAAATTTGGGTTAATGAAGACGGGAATACGCCAAGCAGTGTGGTCTGTGGGAAATTACGCTCGGATAGCTGCTTTGCCGCCTTCTCTTCATTGGACTCTACATACACATCAATGTACACGGAACTTGGTAATCTGGCGCACCCCAAATGACCAGACACTGTTCCTTGCCCGGTCCCCCGTCCTGTACCACTGTCACACACTGATCGGAAGTGAATATTCGCTTGGCCGCTTCAATCACTGATAAAGGTGACATCAATGCGACTTAATGAGCCTCAAATATTAAATTTTTTCCACCGACAAATTAAATTCTAAAAATTTTTTTATGTATTAGAAAAATAAAGACGTTTGACGTATTTGTGGGTAAAAATTATTTCCTATTTAGTGTAAATGGGTATTAAAATTAGTAAAAGGCAGCATTCTGCCCGAAGCAGTAAAGTCTTATGTAAACAATGCACGCGCCATTGAGACAATGATTGACGCCGCGTGCTGTGACGCCACGTGTTGAATGCAGTCATCTTTTACAGAGATATCAGAAGACTTTCGTAATCCTCTGTGAAGCAGATTGCCACTGCCAGTGGGCTAGTGCGAACAGCCATACATGCATTTCTTACAGTTCATTCCAGCAAATTCAATTTCCTTTAATGTTTTTATTTCATAACCGTTGGCCACCACCTATCAAACAATAAAACTATCAATAAAGCAATTTACCCTGTGCTCTCCATGTTTAAAGCGCTAATGCTCTTCAGTAACATAAATATTTTATTAACAGTCAAGGTAGGCTGAAATGAGGAAAGTTTTGCCTGGACAGCAGGGCTCCTTTACGTGCATATCATTATCAACGTGTACACGGCCCCCCGGGTTTTCATTCACTGACATTGAAACGAATAGGCAGTGTCTTTGTCAGGCCTTTTGTCTGCATCACTGACAAGGGGGAACCACGTCGGAAAATTTGGAGGAATTGTCACGGCCACCACCCGATAGAATCCAGGACCTTCGGGTTAGCCAGCCAGCTTCTTACTAACTGAACTACCGCGGCTCCCCTGTATACTTCACCGCATGAGATTCGATGGAAATGGATAACTTGTAATTAATTATCCATCTATTGTTTTCCGCCCGAGTCCAACAGCAGGCAGTGTATCAAAATAATGTGACAGTTAAACCTGATAAAATATTGTTACAAATGTTTTTTTCTATACAAACAGTATTTTCCTCAGGATAGCTGAATGGAATTGGGGAACATACTTGTTCTATGCAAAACCTCGCTCCGTTACCCATTATATAGGAGATCATGTTATTCTACTTGGACTTGCACATCTTCATTAAACTAAATTTTAATGTGTGATTCTGAAATAAATACATGCATTTTTAATGTTGAAATTGCAAGGATTCCAGCCTCGGCTTAAAATTAGTAGAGTTCCGGACAATCCTATCAACTCGTCTAACGACCTGAAGACTTATGTGATCAATTGTGCTCGACGTTTGTATATAACATCACACACTCTTTATGACTGGGAGAGACAAATGTTTAGCAACTGTTGAACTTTAATTACAAAAAGACTGACTATTTGTTCTATCGCCTTACGACTTTCTCTTCAAACAAAGGATGTCCGTTAGCTCTAACGTCTGTAGAACTTGATATTGGATTCTAATTAGCTTCTGGGAATTTTCGTTTATATCAATTAATAAAAACAATTCATCCTAGAAGCATATATATGTTCCAGAAACATCTAAGTTAAAAATCATAAAACTCATCTGTTAAGAGCAATCCTTAATTGTTAAAAGATAACATGGTAAATCATTTATATGATCGACAATGCGAACTAATTACCCTGCTTTTATAAATGGGTCGTCGTGTATATTAGGCTTTGTTCGCTTAACAAAACAGTGTAGAAGCATTTTATATACTCTTTTATGGAAACGCACGGAAAATAAGAAATTCCATATAAATTGAAAAACATTGTTAACAATAACTGATCAAGAAATCATTCCATACTATATAACAGTATATAAGCCATTTTGGTCAAAACACGGAAAATCAAAAATTGAATATCGACGAAAACACATGGAATATATTACGAATGGCTGCTTGTGACCTTCACTTGGCTTGATGTGGGGCGTAACCTCCGCTTCCACCTGGGGTGATGCCACAGACACGTGTTTCCTAGGAGAGTTGCGAGAAGAGCAAGTTGCGCGCAAGAGATTTGGGCATGTGTAAGCGATTAAGAACTTTTATCGCTTCCATTTCCTTAGTTCTATTGTTCGTGGATCCATTCCAAGACCTTAATACCCTATCTATCACGTGTTTTGCCATGACAATTAGGAATTAAAACGTTCTACTTTTCTGAAATTATTGATAAGCATAGTCTGGGTCGGTTAAAATATTGCAATATTCTTAATTGCTCTCCCCTTTGTCGTTTGGAGGGTACGTAAACCCTAGGCGTACTCGTTGGTGTGCACGTAAAAGAATCTCGACAGTTAGAATCCAACGAAAAGTAGGCGAAACAACCGCTGTCCGGGCAAAATTACTCTCATAGCTTTCCAAAATGTGTATGCTGGTCTTCTTTAGCCCGGTTGGTGTAGAAAAGTGGGAGGTTAAATCCCATTTCACGGCAAAATACATAAAAAAGAATCATGAAAAAAACTAGGCCCGCAATTAGCGTAAAACACTGACTTAAAGCAAACTAAAACTAATTCCGGATATTCTAACGGACACATTAGATATGTCAGAACTTTTTTTCAGGGATGCTTCCACACTCTTATGACAATTTACCCCCGCCTGTTAATATGATCAGAATCGATTATTGATATGTTAAACCTTATTAATAATAGATAATAATCATGCTTAATGTGACTTCGGTTACGACGCTCTTTCAGGAAGTACACGGAGCTTAATTAAATGTATGTATAAATATATAATGAAAAGTCCCCCCCCCCCTCCACACTGAACAATGTTCCGTAAATATGTACTGATCTAGCTTAACTGTACTTATCTAAGAAGTTAATGAATTAGATTTTTAAATAACATACATGATCCGTTAGGTGACACAAAGCAGTGTTAACTGATATAGATATTATGTGTCTAAGTCAGTTCATCAACGTAGCATTTTAATATGCTCTTTGTTAAATAAATCTTCGATATCACCTTTTTTGTTCAATATTTTCAAAACTTTTATGTATAAGCCAAAATGTCAAATTGACTTTTTAACAATGACATTTTATAAGGATAAATATTGTTTTGGGGTTGTTGATGTATTATCTGGGATGACACGGTCTTATGAGGGGATGGGTAGATTCAAATGCTACTCAGAGGTCCTTCTACTCTCATATTTTCA